GTGCTCCCCCCACTTTTGGCATGCAGTGGCACGAGAGCAGACTTCATCATGTTTAGAATATACCTGAAAATGTCTAAGTTCAAATCGTGGCTATTATTAAGTCTAATTGTTTCCAACTTGTTTACTCTTATTGGGATTAAGTCTCAAGGTTTACGACATCCCCATATGATGAAACACTTTGCCTTTGGGGGGGAAAAAGAGCAGATTAAAGCATAAAGGATACGTACGCATGATTTCCACAGAAAGTGAAATTCTGCAGAGAAATCTCTTTTGCAACCAAACAGTGCTAACATACAAATATAGAAGTGCTCTATGTAGTTAGAAATAAATAGAAAAATACAGCTTTCTGTGAAACTGTAATATTACTCCTAGGGGGGGAGATGTCTGTGATAATCCACTATTGTGGCTTGACTCTGTTACCAAGACCCAAGCAAGGTACTGCATCTCCAAAATTTCATCATCCTTCTTCCTTTACATCAGAGGTGTCAAACTCGTGGACCGCGGGCTGAATGCATCATGCGTTGGCCAGGCCCACCTCCGGTTTAGCGAACAGGAGGGGGGGGAGTTGCGGTACATCACATGACGACAACATGAGGACACAAGTTTGACACTTCCGCTTTACATCATATAAAGAATTTGCACAATCGAGACCTAAGTCTGAAGACTTAGCAGACTTTAAGAGAAATTACTAATACATTGAACCAAAGGTGCTTTTTCAAGAGGCCACTGGACGTTCTTGTTTTTTCTTTGAAGACCTTTCGCTTCTCATCCAAGAAGCTTCTACAGCTCTGACTGGATGGTGGGGAATGGAAGGCTTTTATACTGCTTGTAGACAGCTGGTCATTTGCATCCTTTTAGAGAGTCATTGAGGCCACTTGGAGGATTTATACTCCTTGCAGACAGCTGGTCATTTGCATCCTTTTAGAGAGTCATTGAGGCCACTTGCAGGTTTATCTGTGTCCTCAGGGTCACCTGAGTACTGCAAATGGGTGTGGAGCCTTCTTGGAACTGTTGAAAGGACTGTGTTGTAGGACAGAAAGAACTGCTTATCGTCAGTCTACAACACCGTCCTTTCAACAGTTCCAAGAAGCGCCACACAATTTGCATTACTGAAGTGACTCTGAGGACACAGATAAACCTGCAGGTGTCCTCAATGATTCTCTAAAAGAATGCAAATAATCAGCTGTCTGCAAAGAGTATAAATCCTTCCATTCTCCACCATCCAGTCAGAGCTGAAGAAATTTCTTGGATGAGAAGCAAAATATCTTCAAGGAAAAACAAGAAAGTCCAATTGTCTCTTGGAAAAAGCATCTTTGGGACAGCCATGACTTGGGTGACTGAGAATCTCCGCAGACACTAATGTGATGAGTTTATCTTGCTCTCCCAAGATAAACCACGGACAGTGTTAATTCAGGGACACAAGGTCTAATCTCAAGACGGAAAAACTGCAGTGATGGGATGGGTTTAAGTCCTTGGCCGCTTGGGGAGCAGAATCCACCAGAAAGCATTTCTCCTTGTCTTTCCAGTAGACACATAAAATTCAAAACATAAAATTTACACATTACACGCAGAGAGAAACGGACGATATCCCCATTTTTGCATAAAACCTTGTTAATCTCTGAAGTTACGCAGAGGGGCTCTCAAAAGACTGACAACTTTAAATAAGGAAGTTGGCAGGGATTATTCTCTCAATGTGAGATGTCCAAACATGATATCAAGAAGTGTTCTTTCTGGTCCCGTTTGCAAAGAAATACGTAGCAGTCCATGATGCTTGAACGGAAGGGAAGAAAAATCTTGAATAAGTCGTATCTTCCACAGGAGCAGATTTTGGTGGAGGGAGGGGGAAAAATATCCTTCCTCCAATCCTTCTCTTTTTCAAAACCTGCCCATCTGGAATCTCTTTGGTTTTGCAAACACGCATCTGTTATGAAATTCAAGAGGCCCACAATCTTCTGGCGTTAATTGGGCCCCTTGGCCAAGTGGGAAGTGTTGAAGCAACTTGCTGAACTAACCGTGGCATTCTCAAAAAGCAAAGTTGTGGGGCAGATAATCTCTTTCACACTCACGTAGGTGCCAGCTATGAAACCGATCACGCCAAGGAGGGCGATGGAAACGTCTTTGAAGATCACCCATCTGCTTAGCTTCTCCTTGTAAAAGGTGAGGATTTCAATCAACGGAGGCATGATCAAGGCCAACGTGCTGCTGCTTACGGCGCCAACCAGCGAGATCACGATGTCCAGACGGGGGATGGATATCGCTATAGCACCTGGGGGAAGAGAGAGAGAGAACCCAAAAGGGAAAGTTCATTTTTGCTTAAGGAACCTGGTGTCTTGCGACGGAAGAATCCATGTACAAAAATGGAAGGATGTTGTGATTCCAGTGGTGGAGAAAGGGAGAAAGGCAACCTTAGTTTAATATATTTGTACCGTAACTGGTTCTCCAATCAATGGAAGGCAGGTATGAATAAGTTATGCTCCTTCTTTTACAACTTTGTAATCCCGTAATTCAGAGTAAATTTGGGGCGACTGGTGGGTTTCAAATTTTTTTTTTACTACCAGTTCTGTGGATGTGGCATGGCTTGGTGGGCATGGCAGGGGAAGGAAACTGTAAAATCTCCAGCCCCTCCCCACTCCAGGGGAAGGTTACTGCAAAATCCCCATTTCCTCCCAATCAGTTGGGACTCCGGGGAGGGGGCAGAGAATAGATGGGAGCGGGGCCAGTCAAAGGTGGTATTTACCAGTTCTCCAAACTACTCAAAATTTCTGCTACCGGTTCTCCAGAACTGGTCAGAACCTGCTGAATACCACCTCTGGACTGGATGGAGCTGATCATTTACTGGCCAATTTACTGGCCCTTCATGGTATTGGACCTGGGTACTTGAGAGACCGCCTGCTGCCAATCACCTCCACCAGACCGATTAGATACCACAGATTAGGCCTCCTCCGAATTCCATCCGCCGGCCAATGTCGACT